TATACATATAAAGGACTCCCTCAGGCCTCCCTCAGGCCTCCCTCAGGCTCCCGAAGGTGTGTTAAGCAAAACATCAACAACACCCAGGACTCGACATCTAGCACGAGTCAAAGAGGGAAGAGCACCTTTAGCATAGCATGGTAACAGTGCTACTAGCGAAAACAACGAAGTCCAGCAAGATAAGACTCTTGCAGTACGGATATGGTAGTTTCCCAGAATAAGGGGACCCCAATATAGACCCCAAAATGCTAGTCCTTCTTATGGGGATCCCCAATAAGGTACCCCTTAATTTTGGGAAACCCTAACCCCTATAATCCCCTATATATCCTCAGTTTCCATTTCATTTTCCATTTTCTTTTCCATTTGATTCTCCATTTTTTGGGGGTAATATCCATATATACCCCAATATACTATAGTAGTTTCCATTTTCTTTTCCATTATCCTAATATAACCCTAATATATACCCTATATAACCCCTATATAACCCTTATACTAGCTTCCATTTTCTTTTCCATTATCCCAATGTAAGCCCAATATGTACCTCATATAACTCCTATATAGCAAACCTCTTCGGATGCTAACTTAGCTTCGGCACTCGCAAAAGGAATGGCCCCCTGGTAGAATCTTAATACCACAAGGATTTTGGGGGGTTTAGGGTTTAGGGGTTTAGGGTTTAGGATTTTGTTGCCGCCCCAACATTGAGAAAAAGGAATCCTCAAATTACATCTCCAGGTCTCTTGCAACTCGATCATTGGCCTTCAGGGCAAGTACAACAGGAACCCCAATATTTAGTTCGTCAACCCACGGGGCGCACTAATCAGGCTCCACATGTTCAGCTTCTAGCAGTAATCTTTGTGGCAGAAACATCAACTCTGCCCCCAGTGATCCTGAACATGGCAGCCCCGACTTGGAGGCGTGCATGGCTAGTTCTTGCTGGACTGTACATCAGACAACTCTTGCTTTGCCTGCTGATAACCTTGCCGCAGTGACTTACGTAGGAGCAGCGCCAAAACTACATGTTGAACATCTTGTCCCTTTTGAAGCCAGGGCACCCTCCTGCCCCTGACCCTGAATCCCTATTCCCTCAACTGTGCACAAAAGCCAGACCCCCAAAAGGACATAGTAGGAATTATATAAGGATTATACAGGGGTTATAATGGGTCTATATAGGGGATCTAATTTTTAGATCCTCCCAGGGGTCTGGGACCCTCAACCCTAAACCCAAAACCTTAACCCTAAACCCTCAACCCTTATGCTGTGCCAAGGCGTCTCCAGCTGCAGGACCTCGGCTCGAAGAGCCTCAAAAGCTGCTTGGGCCTCGCCTGCAGCATCTGCCTCCTCGAGGATGACATTCTGCTGTGCACAATATGTGTAGTCCCTTGAAGTAGATAGAATATAAGCGTTATCTAGGGATAATGGAAAAGAAAATGGAAACTACTATGTAGGGGTTAGGGTTTAGGAAAATCGGGTTTAGGATTATAGTCCCCCTTAAGTAGATACAGTATAGGGTATATGGGGATCTTATCAAGGCCCAAAGCCATATTCTATCTACTTAACGGGGACTCTATATATCTATATATACACACGTATAGATTGACATGGGTGTGTGGAAAACATGAAAGGACATGTGGATTGTAGATCTTCGCTGCCCCGGCCTCGCCTCTACCCCCCCTCCCCCTACTATTAAATACTCCCAATAGATTATACTGTACCACATAATGGGAGTATTTAACACTGGGGGGATTTAATATTAGTCCTTTCCGTTTGGAGTACCTCTGGCTTCTCCAGTCCGACTAGAACTATTTCAGAAGAAGGTGATGGGCACAGCTGGGTGCAACAACAAGAGGTTGCGATTAATCCTGCCCACATCATCTGCGGCACCACAGTCCTGCTTGAAAAGCTTCTGCGCCCTCGTTGCAGAAGTGAGGGCAGCACTGCTTTTGCCTCCAGTTGCTAACGAAAGTCTCAGAACGTGAACTTCAAATCACGGATCCAGATCGCTACTACATCCGTGGCGAGCCACAGGGTGTGCAGCCCGGGTGAGCGCACCATATCAGGCTACGTGCAGCTTCATCCGCTGAACTGTCAAAGCTGGTAAACTGCACCTTCATGACCAATTGAAGAACGGTTTTAATGTTGACAACCCAAAACCCTTCAAAGAGGGAAGCTCTGCAAAACTATCGCTACAAATGTATGCCCAGAAAGTTCTGTAGGCCCCCGCCAGAAGGCAGCTATAGTCTTCAGACACCGCCACATGGCAGCCATACTCTTGATGGAGGAGGTCTTGCACACACTACTGTGATGTCCGGGGATTCTGGAACGGAGGGTTGTGCGGAAATTCCCCCAACAACAGTAGGGCCCTAAACCCTAAACCCTATAGTAGTTTCCATTTTTCCATTATCCCTATAGAATCCCTATATATATATACATATATATACGAGGGCCCTAAATCCTAAACCCAAAACTGCTTTGAAGTCAAGCTGCCTTGGTGAAGTGAGACCTGACAGCACCAAAGATCTGGGGACACCATAGGGATTGTACAAAGTTTGGAGAAGTCATTAGTAAGGGGATTTTGGTAACCCCAACCCCCCAAATTAGGACCATGGTTATATCATATGATAGTCATAGGATCCTAATTTGGGGGTTGGGGTTACCAAAATCCCCTTATTAATCATAGCCCCAATCACGGAGAATCACATAGAAACGAAATGGAAACAGAAATGCAAAATGAGATGCTTCTGGATTAAGATTCGAGTCTGTGGCTAAACGCTAGTGTCATGTCGTAACAAATGGTTGACACCACATTCACGACTAGACCCACAATAACATTTTCCTGAAGCAAAAAAAACCTGCTTTCTATGGATCAATGCTCAGAAGTGCTAGAACTTGTCTTGCGAAGGTTTGAAATCTACAAGCTCCTCCTGCTAAATCAGTAGTAATAGTATCACCACCACCACCACCACCACCACCACCACCACCATTGCTGCTGCTGCTGCTGCTGCTGCTGCTGCTACTAAAAATGATAGTACTTGAAAACCAGTCTTTTGAGTATCTTGGGTATTACTATTCAGGCCCCCCCAAATGCAGATAGATCAGGGGGTGGTTATAATGCTAAGTCAACATCACGAACATAAGGGACTTGAGGATATTGGCAGGTTGCAAGCAAGTCATATCATGGAATATGGGAGATTGATTATTTGGGCTCTCAAAAGAGCCAAGGCTCTGTATATGAATACTTGATGTGAAAGAGAATGCCTGTTCTTGAACCTTTCTGAGGCCGAAACGTGTGACGGACATGCAAAGAAAATGCCCACACAATCCCTAAACGCTAAAGCCTTGAATCCTGTAACCCCCTTGTATCCCTGGCATCCCAAAAAAGCACCACCTGCTTCGAGAAACCTTCCTGTGAAGCGTAGGGGTCTGAATAGTTCGCGAAATACTCAAAATTGGGCTTTGGACATATCATAGTATGTACGGAATAATTAAGGAGTACAAGGGGATAATATTCAGTCTACACCCTAAACCCTGAACCCTGAACAACGTCTACAGAACCAACCCGCTCTGCCACGCCTGTGCGGACACCAGGAGTGCTTTTGCCTGAGCCCCCTTCTCTCCAGCCTGCGTAAGGAGGTTTACTTAATGGCTCTTAGTAGGGAATTAAGGACATGATGTAGGATCATATTCCCCTATTTCCTTACTAAGAACCGGTAACTTGTCTTGTTTTAAGCGCTCCTTTTACAGTTAAGACCAAGTCTACCAGTAAGTCTAGGGTTTGAGGTTAAGGGTGGGAGGGTCCCTGTTTGAATGATATGGGCCTCAGAACACGACAATGGGACTCAAAAAGAATGTGGGCCCTCCTTTTATGTGGATTAAAACTCATGTGTTGGTGTGTAGATTTTGCCTGCCTACCTTTGGAGACTCGCTCAGTACGAAGGCACTTCTGGCGCAGTAGATCTTTAGTCTTTCTTCGCCTCCGCAAGGGCTCCTATCATCCATAGAGCATCCTAAGAGTCCCTACTCCGAGCCCTTCCTCCGTTAGAGGGGATGACATCCCATGCGGGGATTACGTCGAGTTTGGAGTAGGGTCCCGGAATCTAGTTTTTACACGGATTGCCACTTGCACGACACACTACTATGCAAGGACACAACACGACTAATCCACACTTTCCATAGAAATCTCCATTGCAGCTGTTGCCTTTTAATTCACGTTAAGCTTGTTAAGCCCAACCGCCCTTTCCTGCCCCCAATTTGCTGTCTCTATTGCAGCATGGCCACCAATTCAGCCAACGTCTGCGCGCGAAGCGCCATTTGCGCTGCAGAGCGGGGGTTCACGGCCTGGGGAAATCTGCTGACTGACCCGTTGCAGTTTGTTGATACACTATTATTCAAGTACGCGTTCGAAAGTCCGGACAAATAAAATTAACCCGAATCACACAAATCACGAGCTTGTCTGGAATTACGCCACATCTTCAGCTTCATCCAGATCCTACCCAGCAGTGGACAACTCAGTGCCCAGGAGCCACAAGCCCCGCCGCTTCCTCGAGCCATGCGTTGACATCCTGAGCTGGTGAGTCAAAGCGCAGGGCTTCAAGGCACGGGCTGAGGTGATCTTTATATTATGGTAGTTTCCATGTTCTTTTCCATTATCCTAATATAACCCTAATATATACCCTACATAAGCCCTATATAACCCATTATAGTAGTTTCCATTTTATTTTCCATTATCTCAATATATAACCCCAATATAACCCCAATGGGAAGGCTACCGTGTTGAGGTTTGAGGCAAGCATCCTCGCGCACCGCCTCTGTTCCTATGGCCATGCCACTCCTGCGTCTGTTCACGCTCAACTTGAGCCACACGCTCTCGCCGCAAAGGCGCGTGCAACAATCGCATGGCTGGCCAGGTGTCTGCGCATGAGACGGCAGGCTGGAAGACCGTATTACATCACGTGCGCTACACATGTCTTCACAACAGTAGGTCACAAGGGTAAGGCCAGTGCCACTTCATGTCCGGATTTCTTCGGAGAGCCCCGGTCTGTGAGCATGGGGCATCCACCAAGACCTCAATCCAAGGCCGGCACTCTGAACTGGGCCCGCGACAGCGTCATGGAAAGCTTTTTGAGTGCTGGGTGTTGTCAAAATTCTGGGTCCTGTTCTGTCCTGTTCCAGCTGTCAACACAGTTGTCTGCCAACCGGGCTTGCGGCCCAGTCCATCTTGCCTCGCAGCTTGTGTAACTGCCTTGGCCGCTTCGTTGGATACCAGTTAGATCTGAAGACTTGCACGCTAAGCGTTCACCACCCTCCTCTGGACGGAGACGTTGCAAAAAAGAATCTGCTATTCCTTGCTACATTTTCTACTGGTGGCAGTCTGGGTGTTGTCATCAGCAGTAGCAACCGCAGCCAGCAGCAGCAGCACCATTAGCACCACCAGCACCAGCACCAGCAATACCACTCCCACCAGCACCAGCACCAGCACCAGCACCAGCACCAGCACCAGCACCACCACCAGCAGCCACCACCAGCACCAGCACCAGCACCAGCACCATCACCATCACCAGCACGACCACCAGCACCACCACCA